AAGGATTAGAAGATTGGAATGCCAATAACTTTTAAGGATTTGATGGATAAGGTTAACAAGATGAAGATGAAGAAGATTAAGAAGAATAAGAGGAATAAGAATAAACATAAGAAGAATAATAATAAGAATAAGGAGAATCATAAAAAGGATAAGAGGAAGTATAAAACTAATGAGTTTTATAATAAAGTAAATATTAATCGTTTTAATTAATTTGATGAATTAACTTATTTTGATAAGTGTATTAGCAATATCTATTGTATAAGCAGATCTTCCTGTTCATTGTCTAAGACATTAGATTGTCGGCAAATGGAAAATGGAAGTTTCTGATGTCTAATTAAAAGGCATGGGTTCAGTGCCTTGTGGACATCATATTCCTGACACATAGCATTCTTCATATAAAGCTGGTTGGGAAGATTTTCGCGCTTCAGATTCTTTTGAATTAACGTTAGGAAATGATTATACAGTTGTAGATAAAGACAGAAAATAAAGTGGAACTTGGACTATGGTTTATGATGAAGGTTTTGAGGTTGAACATAATGGTGTTAAATATTTTGCATTTTCTAAATATGAACCAAATGGAGTCGATTATAAATCATTATGTGGTGAAACTTTAATAGGATGGTATAATCATTTAAAGACTGGTGAAAAAGGATGTTATAGAGCCAAGAAAGCTGACGGAAATGTTGATGCAACAGATTCTTATAAACTTATTAGTGTTGTCCAACCAGAATTTATTTAAAAGAGTACAAGACATGGGGATAGAGTGAAATTAACAAAGGACTTTACAAATCATTAAGAAGCAGTAGATAAATTGAATAGTATTCCAAAATTATGGAAAGCTAAAGCATATGATCATTTTGAAGGTAAGAGTTTATTAGAATTGAATAAAATGGCTGGAAGAAGAAAGCATTATTAAGGTAAAACAATAAAGAAATCTTCATTTACTTAATTAAAAACTAGTGATGTTTCAGATCTACCAAAAACTTATACTTTAGAAAGATATCTTGATCCTCCTAGATAATAAAAATAATGTGGATCATGTTATGCGATATCAACAATGGAAATGTTATCAGCTAGATTAAAGATGAAAGGTGAAAAAGTAACATTATCACCTTAATATTCAGTGGATTGTAATTACTATAATTAAGGATGTGATGGTGGATATCCATTTTTAGTTGAGAAATTTGCATCTGAATAATATTTAGTCACAGAGGAATAATATCCATATAAAGGAGATGTTGGAACATGCAAAAAGATTGATTTTTCTTAATCATCTAAAGTATATGGAGCTAGAAATTATAAATATATTGGAGGTGGTTATGGATTAAGTAATGAAAGAGATATAATGTTGGAATTGTTTAATAATGGTCCTGTAATTATGAATTTTGAACCAGGATAAGATTTTATGTATTATTAAAGTGGTATATATCATTCAGTTGCTTAACATGAATGGTCAAGTTCTGATCGTCCAGAATGGGTATTATAAAATTATATATAATTAGGAAAAAGTAGATCATTCTGTTTTATGTTATGGTTGGGGTGAAGAGAATGGAGTGAAGTTTTGGTTACTATAGAATAGTTGGGGATAATAATGGGGAGAGAATGGAAATTTTAGGTAATTTTATAATTTAATATTTAATAGAATGAAAAGAGGTGTTGATGAATCTGCTATTGAGAGTATGGCTGAAGCAGCAGATCCAATTATTTATTCTAAATCTTCAGGAGAGTTTATTGAAATAAGCTAGTCTAATTAAAGAAAGTAATGACCAAATATATTTAATAAATCAAATCATTTGTTTTTTTATTTTTTAAGGATTGAAAAGAGAATGATTTCATCACCATTGTTTTCAGCTTTATATTTTATATCCAATCTTGGATTTATTTTTGATTGATCAATGCCATTTGTGCAATTTGATAACGTGTCTTTTATTTATACTACTTCTTCGCTTGGATCAAAAACGCACACTGTAATGAAATTATCAAACTGGATTCCATATCCAGTTCCTTATTTAATTTTGCGACCTTTTGCATCAAATCTATCTTCTCTCATTTCTTTGTATTTGATTTTCTTTTTCTCTATTATTATAGTATCAAAATCTTCGGGTTCCTCAGGTATGTCTTCTGTGTCATCCACCTGTGTTCTACTTAGTATTAATTTTGGTCCCAAAGCAGAATTTCGCATATTTCTCACTGAATAATTAATAGTTTATAATATTCATTTATCATATTATCCTCATTGTAAGAGAAATTTGAAAAAAATTAATACAAACTAAGTTTATTTCCAAATATCTTATTCCTAATTTAATTTAGATAGAAGAATTGAAATAGTTGTCACATTATTTCCGTTTTTATACATCTTTTTAATTACACAAAAGCTTTATTTTTGAAAACAAATGTTATTAAATTTCAGCTACATCCTTAATTCGATTTAAAGCCTTCCTAAATATTCTTTCTTAGTGTGAGTTTATGATATAAGTTTGGTTAAAACCTTATTATACATTGATCGTTAATATAGTTAACTAATTTCTAAAAGCAATTTCAATAAATAATTTATTTCCATTTACAAATCTAAAAAGAAAATATGATTCATTATTTACTTAATTGTGATAACTCTAAAGAATAACAATAATTTTTGGTATAAATATCAATTAAACAAAATTACAAAACCATATATCTCTTTTAGGATCAAGGAATACATCATCTAATAATATATTTGAATATTTCAAATGTATTAAGTTTTATCTATGCAAATATTATTCTAACTCAAAAAATTTCATTTCTTTTTATTCACTTATCTATTAAATTTCAGGTAGCTAAATAACTTATATTAAGAATTAAAGTCTATTACAAAAAATAATTTGTTTGATTTTGAATAGCTTAATTTAACTGGGCGATAAAGCTTCAATCAGAAATTTCTCCTATTTTTCTTCAATTTTGTATATTTATTTAATTTAAGGTTTGCACTTTGTTTTGGTTTAAAACTATTCATTCCATCATAGAATGATTTACAAAATGGATTATGCTATAATCTATATTACTCTTCTAATACATTTTTCATTAATTGACACAGAATTACGCATTTAATTATTGATTTTTCTTTTCTATTTCATAAATAGAGAATATTCTCTATTTATACTTTTGCTATGCATCACTACTATATAATATTCTTAAATTTAAATCAGATCCCTAAAATTCGATATATTATTAAATAAACACATAAAATAGTGAATCACTTCTTCAAATAGATTTCTATGGTATAATTGTTGAATTAAAGGACAACATTGGAGATTCATTAAATAAAAATATTGTACCTAATTATTACAAACATTTTTACAAGACTAGATTATTATTTTTTTTTTAATTAAGATTTTTTCTACTTATTCATAAAATGAATCCATTTACTTCTAAAGTTATCCTAATATTTGTAGTTATATTTGTCCATTTATCCTAGATAACTCTACTCTAATATGGTTGAATTGCCTCATGTTTTAAAATAAATACAGCAAATATGAAACCAATAAAGGTTAAATTGTTAAAATTAAGATATTTTAATTACACGAGAAATCATATTCAGATCCCTCTTTCTATTAAAATTATTTAATTATATAATCTAACAAATTTGTTAGATTCACTAATCTCAAGCAACTCTTATTTAATTGACATCTTTAAATCATTTATACAATTGCAATGCTTAAATCAAAAATTAAATCAAAACTTTTCTCCTTCAACCCTCTCTTTATAATACTTTGTTAGCTTTTAAACACCTTCAAAATTTAATTAGTATGTTGTTCTTAAATACTTTACTGTTTTTTTCTTAATTCAATAAAACTTTTATCTTCTGAGTCTATTACAAGTATAAATGTCACTGTGTCTAAAAGGCACTCAGAAAAAGTTATTTGTTATTATTTCTTATTGTAATATACAGTTAAGTTTTCAATTGTGTATCTAATTGTGGAATTTGATCTTTATTTGGCCTTGTCCCAAATGTATTATTCTAATGTCTTATTTCCTAATCTTGTATTTCTTAAAAAGTGCAACAAAGGATTTTCAACGTTCATCAAAAAGTGCATTTGAATCATCCTGGAAATCTAAAACTATTATTTCTCTTCATTGCATGTAAATATGAAAGTTGGCTTGGAAATAAGTTAAGGTAACAAAACCTCTTTAAGTTAGGTTATTATAAATTAATACCCCATGAACTGTCTCTAATCGAGAACATATAAGCCTTTCGCAAATGTACATTTTTAATGTATATACAAAGACATAAACAAAAGAATACTGCAATTGAATATATTTAATCTTGATAGTCCAATTTTGTATCTAATGTATTGGCGATTGTCATTCTAATAACAGTCCAAGTAAAGTTTGTAATTATTCCATCTGGATAATCACTAACTAACATTACGACTGAATGTACAAACATCTAGTTTTAACCAAATAGATAAGTATGTTACACAACGTTTTCTCTTTAGTTTATTTAATACAACATTAAGAAATGGTTGATAACATAAAATGCAATTCTAGTAAATTTTTTATAACAGAAGCTAATGATGCTTACTACAACAAATAAACAAAACCCAATTAATTTGAGTGTAAACTAGCTTTGATTGTTATTTATAAACCCATCTATATTCTTTATTCCCAATATCATAATTGAAAAAATTGCTAAAACCATAAATACTGGGTACTATATTTTCTCTAATAGAAATGTTTGATATAGTGATTCCAAATCTCTATCTTTAAATTTTAATGACAATTTATTGATCATGATATCAAATTTTAAATAATGAAATTTACTTCTAAAAAAGGAGAATTATAATAATGCAATCAAATTAATTAAACTACTAATATATATCTTGAAAGTTATGTATTAATATTCTAACAGATTTGAAAATTTTGACGCATCTTAAAAACAAAAGAAATTATAAAAATAATACTTTATATAATTATTAAATTAAATATTTAATTTCAACACAAACACAAACACAAACACCCAAAAATCAATTGGTAGCATTACTTTAATTGTAAATAATATCAACTGGAGCACCTTCTCGAAGATTAGATTTTCTATACAATTCATTAAGATTTAATGGTCCTGATTTAAGCTCTTATTATGCTATAGGTGTTTCTTCGATTTATCTTTTGATGGAATACTCTTTAGTGAGGGATTGTCGTTTTCCCTTTTCTCCCAAACATTCCTGAGATTTTTAATTTGAATAACAACAAGCAAATCCCCAACCCAAAACTTCATTCCAGTAACTACCCCAAATTTAAGTATGTAAACCAAAATATTTATCCTCCTCATATTTAGATTAAGGTATTTTTTTTTAGACTTATGTAATAATTTATTCTTCTTTTTTTTATATTTTCATTTCTTTTTTTTCTCTAGAATTCAATTTTTGAGTCTAAGTAGATAATTTAATACTAACAGGAACTTTTTTAGTTCTTTCATAACAAAATTTAGCAATATGATCTTTTGCTCCACAATTGCTGCACTTCTATTGATTCGACATATTACTATAATAATTTTTTTAATTAATATATTTCATCCTTTTCCAAGTACATCATCTCTAAGAGATTCGCACACCTCAACTACTTCAGCCACAATATCTTCTGGAAGTGCCAAATTTACAAGAGTATCACTTAAATGCTTGACTACAAGATTAAAATGAGTATCATCAATTCCTAATCCTCTATGTGCTTCAAGCATATCTCTTCCCATATAATTAGAAGGTCTAAATCATTATTTCTTCTTACCCTCCAAATAGCATGGTAAGAAAGGCTTACATCTAAGAATTCAGTTTTTTCATGTCTGTTTTTACAAAGTAACTCTTCAGTTTTGGATCATTCTATAATTTTTATAACAGCTTATCAACAGTAAAATCAATAGCCATACTTTGTCCTAATCTTTCATAAATAGTTTTTTTCTATAGTATTTTATATAATTAATACTTAAATAACAACTCTTGGATTGAAAACTGTTTCAATAGGCGCCTAATTCTTTTAATTGGTATTATTAGGGATTGATAATTTAATTTCACTATCACCCAAAAGATTCTTTTTAATTTATTCTTATTATTTATTAAATTATTCATTTCCCATAAGATTTCTTGCAATTTATTCTGTTTAATCTATGTCATTATCTGGATCCTAAACTCTTTAATATTTATTTTCTATAATCTTAGATTCTACAACTTATTTATCTTACACTTTCTCGTCTATTTAATTAATAAAAGTATTTACTAATTTAAATAGTAATTGGAGGTTAATTTTCATCAGCATCATATTAATTAGCATTTACTTGAATGGTTATTTTACCATTATTATATGTATTTGTTTTTTATCCATTTATAGCTAAACACCAATCATATTAATAATCCCAATCATATCCATGTTTCTAGAAGAGTTCTTTGAACATCTTTCTCAGAAAACTATAATCAGGTTTATCTTCAAATCTTAATGATCGACAATAATTTAGATAGGTTGAAAATTCAACTAAAAACATCATATTTGATCTTACTTGGTAAAGTCTTACACAAAACTTCAACTGGAGTGGTCATCTTCTTTTCCATAATTTTATGATATTTCTCTTATTTATTATTTGCTTTGATTCCTTACCAAGGTAAATAACTTCTAAGTAAATATACCATAACATAGCCAATAGCTTCTAAATCATCTCTCCTTGATTATTCTATACCAAGATGTGCATTAATGCTAGCATATCTTGCTGTTCCTGTAAGATTTTTATTTTCTCTGTATGGGATATGTTAATGAGTCTTAGCATCTCGATATTTCTTACTCAAACCAAAATCGAGTATGTACTAAATATACTAATCTGATTTTTTACCACTGTATTAGATTTCCTTCCTAATCCTATAAGAAAGTTGTCTGGTTTGATATCCCTATGTATGAAACTTTTGGAATGCATATATTCAACCCTTTGAATCATTTGATCTGCCAACATGATGACTGTTTTTAATGAAAACTTCCTTTGACATAAATTAAATAAGTCTTCCAAATTTGGCCCCAGTAAATCAATCACCATAACATTTAATCCTGCCTCTTATCCAAACCAATGTAAAACAGGAATCCCAACTAATTTTATTTATTGCAAAAACCTACTTCCTCCTTGTAATGCTTTTGTCACCTTTGCTTCAAAAACTAATTAAGGATGTTTTGACTTGGCTTCTTCCTAAATAGATTCAAAATAAAATAATTACAAATTTAGCTGCCAATATCTCATTAGATTAACTAATGACTAAATAGATCTCTCCAAAAGAACCACTACCAAGTCTCTATTAGGTTGTGTATTTTCCTTAATTTAATGGTATATTTTTAATCTCTGCTTGCATTCAATTTTATTTAAATTATATATTAAATATTTCACTTTTAATTAGATTATCATAATATATTAAGTAATCTTATTTGAAATCCATACCACCTTAAATCTTTTTAAATTTCACTAAAAAAACTACAATGAATCAAAAGAATTAAAAATATAACCAATATTTCAACAAAATTTTTGCTTCTATTGATAATCTTATTAAATTGACCCTCAATTATTATTAAAAATAGATAAATATAATTAATGCTATTAACTTTGAATAAAATTTTAATTATTAATAACTTATAGTCGTTAATAGTATATATAAAAATATCATAATTGTGTTTTAAATATATTTTAATTTTCTTTCTCACATAACTAATTATTAGAATATCAATATTAGTTAAAATATTCTTTCTTATAGAAATTGAGAAATGATTATGAATTTAATCAAATACTTTAAGGAAGTAAAATAATTAAAATTGAATACTTATTTTAAAATAAAATTAGATAAGAAAATTAAAAATCAAAAATTGAAATATGTCTATTATAAATCAAATTTAATTAATATCAAATAATGTATTGCCAGTTACTAAAATAAAGATTATGATGATATTATATTTAATAGTATTTTAAAAGATAAAAATATTATTTAGAATAATGCCCTTTATTAAAAGGAAATCATTTATCATCAAGTTTAAACACAATAAATTTAGAATAAATCTTCTAATCTTTATATTTGAAGAATTAAAATAGTTAGTCTTAGTGTTGAAGACTAAATATACAATCTTGCAGAATATAAACTTATAATTTGATGTCATCATAATATATATCTGGATATGTATTATGAATTAAATCATAATGTTTAGTAATTAATATTATGAATGCAATTCCTCTACGATATCGTAAATAATCTTCTACAAAGTCATTTTAAACTATTTTGATGACAAAGGTTTGCTTTCCATCAAAGAATGAACTTATTTTAGCTCCATAATTGATATAACCAACAATCTAATCAAAAATAGTGTAGTAACTGAAGATTCAAACTGATAAGCCAATAAAACCAACTAAGTAATAAGTCTCTTAAACAAAATTTCAAGCTGCTAAATTATTGAAAATCTGTAATTTGGATGATAAATAAAGTTTAGAAAAAGTTTAGGATGAAAATTCTAAAAATACTTTGAAGAGATTCAACATCAAACTTATCAGGAATCAAGATAAATTAACTTTGAAATCAGAAAATTAGATTAGAATAAGATCATACTCAACAGAAATTTAAACTAATAGAACAAATAATTTATCAAAGTCATCAAATAAGAAAGTGAGATTTTATGAAAAAGTTGAGTATTGGGTAATAAGCCAAATAGATGATTAAGTAGGAAATTATAAATACTTTGAACCTATTAAATTAAAATGATTATTAATTGTAATTTAAAAATAATATTTACTAAAAATTTAATTATTAACTTTAATAATATAGTAGTCAAAATTCCTTAAACAAGAAGTTCTTTTTCAATTACAATAAACACATAATCAACTAAGTTATTTTGTATTTTTTTAACAAAACATTTTTATATTTTGAATTACTTAAGTTCTTTGTAAAATAATTATAATATTATTTCAATACATTAAAAAATAACAATTAAACAGTTCAATCTGATTAGATCTGCAATTTAAAAGTCATTCTCATTATTCATATTTTTTTTCTTGATAAAAGAAGTACTGAAATACTTTTTTGTTAGAATATTGCAACTTGATTAATAATCTTAAAAATTGTTGAGCAAATTATAAATCTCATTATTTGAATCCATAATTGTTCCTTTTATTCAAGTACTCATTATTTTTCTTGTTAATAATAAATTAATTATTCAATAAAAATTTACATCATTTTTTCTTTTTTCTCTCATATACTTAATCTTTAATTTATTAAATACTTTTAGTGTAGCATTAAAAATTAGCACTATCAAAATATCAATACTATCATTTTTATAAATTCTAAATATTAAAAAATGAAAATTATTGTTAAATATATCAATTTAAAAAATGCATAAATTTTATACTTCAGACTTTTCTTAAATAAACATAGGCCATTGATTAGGTTTCAGAAAATAAAATTATTTTGGGTTGTTTATGAATGATACTCAATTCAAATTTCCCTTTGATCTCTTATAAACGTTCTAGTGTATTACCTGAATCATTTTAATAAAGAATTACTCCATCTTCAAATTAAAGTAGCAAGATTTTGCTTATTTCACAATATTATATTTATATTAAAGGTTAGGACTAAAAAATGAAAGAAGCAACTTTATTATATTAACATCCAATTTCTTTTTATAAATATAAATAGATATTTCCATAATTGGAACCAATATAAATTTATCTATTCCCTTGACTTAGACATGTTACTTATTCTTGATTTTCAAAAGATATTTATTAAAATTCAGAAAATTCATTATTATTATTAAAAATGTGTAACTAATTTTCTAATATGACAAGTAAATAGTTAAAATCTTTATTTAATTAGATATCCTTTATCTCTTTCACAAAATATTTTATTTTATTACTCACTTTTAAAACCTGTTAACATGAATAACTTTTCAAAATGTAATCCTCTCCTACTGATAATAACTCTGTATTAACAAAATCCATAATCAAAAATAATATTGCACCTTCCTGAAACTTTTATTGATCTTTTGTATTCCAAACATTTCCTGAATTTTAAAAGGTTGAAATGATGCCATTTTGATATCCAACAAACAATTAATCAGAATTCTTATTTAAAGCTAAAGCAGTCACTGATAAATTAACACTATCATCCCCTTCATCAACTACAGATTAGTACTGAAATTCTAAACTATTATCTATTATTTTAATTTCCAAATTCTTAAATTATTTGAATGGATATTATCCTTAGATTAACAGATCTCCAGTTTGATTTAATTTTGCCACTTTTACAAGGCCAATTCGATACTCTTTTTTTTTTTCAAATATTTATTTTTCAAATTATTTATTATATAAAGGCGGCTTGTTTGATTTCTCTTACTTAATTGGTAAATCAACTTTTATTAAATCTTTTAACTAATCAAACAGTTTAATAATCTAATATCTATACTTTTATTAGACTTCTTTTAATTATTAGCTTGTTTTATAAATTACACTTTTTTAAATATCCATATTAAAAACAAATTC